CGCTATTCCCGGCTATTCCCCTTGAAGTACCTCCCCCCCTACCTCTTACCTTTTCCACGGGTTCCTATGAATTCTTCTGGATCCACGACGGCCATGAGTGGAGGGGACCGTTGCAAACATCGTCCGAACACGACCCGAGGGTATCATTCGAGATATAGGGAACCCTAGCCTGGCAGAGAAAGAAACGTAAACAAGGTAAACGAAACGAAAAAAAAAAACAAGAAAAGAGACACCTGTGGCCTGTGGGATCGAATGGTATAGGAGTCAGGTAAGGTCAGAGCAGGGCCTGGAAACGCAATGGTAGAGACCCGGACGATACCGCAACAGGGGAAGCTTATGTGAAAAAAGAATGCATCTCCAGTAAAAAGCAAGGAGAGATTCGGAAAGCCGATTAAATATGCCGCGTAGTAGGCTGATACACTTGGCCCGGAGGTAATGTTTGTCGTGATCAAATCCAAGAACAAGTGCCGTCTGCTAGAGTGAGGTTATGTGTGGGTGAAAAACCAGGTTTTCTGTCAAATTTTCATGGCACACTCGTGATAGTATCATGTTTTACAATAGGCCTACTAGACAAATTTCATCAGCTTTCCGAATCCCTTCTTGATTTTTACCGGAGATGTGAGCTCCCCCTAAACACGTTCTTCCAGTGCTATCCTTAGTGATCGTCCAGAAACTGCGTCCGTGTTTCAAATAATCGTTCGTCAAAATATGAGAGCTCGGCGCCTGCGAAACGCAGGGTAGGCCAACCCACAGTACACGCATGAACTGTAGGCGAAAAGTTGCCTACCCATCAGGCGCACTGATAGCTTGCGTTTGCTGAACTCGGCAAGTTCGCCATGGCAACTAACGGGGACGTACTTTCTGGGTGATTCCTCACACCAGGTCAACGGTTGCTTGGCGTTGGCTCGGTGGTGGTGGTTCAGTACGTTTTCTGCCTTCTGTTACAGCAGCTGTAAAACAGGTCTTCTTGATTCGTTCGTGCCCGAGACGTATTTCGAGGGGGGCTCAACTCCGGCAATCTGGTGTACACCTAACCTGGAATTTCTACGATAATCTTTGGCAATTTCTAGACAATCCGGTCGAAATGTCATGCGTTTTGCCTACATTTACAGTGAAAATAGTGAGTTTTGCCTAGTTACAGTCGTTTTATGTCCAAAAAGACAAGTATTCGTCTGGCAATCTTGCAATCTTGGCAATCTGGTGTATGTGTACACACTAAAATCTTATGAACTTTTTTTTCATAGTTACTGAGTTCTGTAAACATGCTCGGCTTACGCATTTTTTAATACGCCAGTACGCACAAATTTCTTCATACTGGCGCATTAAAAAATGCGTAAGCCGAGCATGTTTACAGAACTCAGTAACTATGAAAAAAAATGTTCATAAGCTTTTAGTGTGTATACTCTACAAGAGAGTATAGAGGCCCCCTCGACGTCTTAAGTGTTAAGTACGGTTAAGTACATGTTATTCTTTTCGAACATTTGGTTGAAAACTTTTCGTCACGTGCTTGAATCAAGAACACCAACATTATGGGATGGAGTGAGCGATGTATATAGGACCCATTGTATTTGTTTGTTTTTCCCCCTGTCCAACTTTATCTACCTGGTTGATATGGGACCCGGTGTGTCCAGTCGGCCGGGCAGGGGCAGGGCAGGACAGGACAGGACACCGCTCCGGCCGCCAAAGCCACCGGACATGAGTGAGCGGCTGACCCGGCGGGCCCTGGGCCCCGGGCCCCGGGCCCTGGGCCGTTGCGGCCGCCCCGCCTCCTCCCGACCTGCACGCCTGACCGGTACTCACCATACCGCGTGCGTCCGGCTGCTTTCACTCACTGACCCCACTCACCAAACACACACATAATTTTCCCCGAGACTTTCGGAGTTTGCCGAAAGGAAACAAAAAGAAAAACTGAAAAACTTGCGTTTTTTTCTCTTTTGACGCTACAACTTTTACTTGCTTGCGCAAATACGGTCAGGAATAAAATTTTAAATTACCCAGTCATGGTCAAAGAGAGCGTCGCGACAGACTGGCCGGCTCGGATCCTTCTGCAAGAGTACTACTAGCTGCGGACCCTGCGGACACATTAAACTCTATGGTTGAGTAATAGTTTTTCATGAGCTTTAGTAGTGTTCAATATGAGTTAAATGTATCACCTGATAAAAACTAAGAGTATTTTTGTCGTGTTCGTCGAAATCCCTTTTCTCGACCCCGTGCCTCCATTCTCAGAGAATCTTCTCGATTATGATAATTCATAATCTCTGAATGACCGAAGTGACCGGACGCTTGGACGCGCCTCTCTGCTTCTACGCTTTCTGCTAACTTGATGTCTTCCAGGTCGTACAAACGATGTGGACCCTACTATCCTCGGCGCTGCGAGTTGGGGCAAGGCGGGGCGGCCGTGGCGGGGCGGGGCGTGGCGGGACGCGCAGCGCACCCTCGTCGTCCAATATTGACAGCGTTTCCCGTCCGTGCGGGTGGCGTCTCAAGGAGTTATTCGGGGCAATGCACGGCGCGGTTCGGCGTGGCGCTGTGTGGCGTGGCGTTGTGTGGCGCGGCCCCCGCATCCTCCTGAACACGCAGCAGCAGCAGCGGGCGGCCGCTGGAGCGAGCCTGAAGCGGGGAGGAGGGAGCGGCACAGTGCGCACAGCAACAGAGCGCTGTTATGAGGTAGCTGCTCGCTGCGTGGCACGGCGCTCTGCGGCGCTGTGCCGTGCTGCGCGGCCCCAACCCTGTTGTTCCGTTCCACTACACAGCACCCACCCGGGCCGCACACGGCCGGGGGGCGGCCGGGAGGACTGTGTGCCCCCCAGCGCCCCGCCCTGCCCCGCCCCGCCCCGCCCCGCCCCACCATGCCGCGCCGTACGCTTGCTGTGCGGTGCGGTCTCGTCATGGGTCCAAACTATGTCTGATGCGCAGTCAAGCTTCCGATTCAAACCGCCGCAAACCAGACGGGGGGTGGGAGCAGGGAGTAGAGGAAAGGAGGTCGCGTGGGAGAGAAATTCGGAGGAGGAGGGGAGGAGGGGGTTGCTTGCGTGTGACCCCCTTTGGCGCGCCACGCGCTGCCACGCCTTCAAACTCGACGCGTACTTTGCGGTGTGTTGCACAAAGCCTTTGTGTGGGGCTGGTGGGCCTGCTGGTCTGGGAGAGGGGAGCGGGCCCGCTCGTGCCTCAATTGACTCTCTCACCCCACCGGGCTGTTTTCTGCAATTAAAACACGACACGCCGGAGCCAATAGAGTTACCGTCGCTTTCTAGCTACCAACGTTGTGGGGTGGGAGTGCTCGGCTGACCTTGCTGCGTCGTTTACATTTTAGGAAACAAACCAATCTCAATACACATCTGTTTTCGTTGTTGTAAAATGAAGAAAAGGTCACCCGGTAGTTTGGACATAGCTCGGTTACGCAGCCCTTTCCCATCCGATATTCTGTTTATCTTTTGATGGGAGCACCATAGAATGTGTCGCACTACAGCCGCGCGCACAGAAACTGGAACAGGGGGCTTTTTGTGCTATCAGTCCTTATCAGTGCCAGTCGCGGCGCCGTGTCAGGGGCGATAAGGGCTGATACTAGGCGCTGCTACGACACGATGCTCGGCCCATTTGTTTCGTAGGCACGGACCCACTATAAAAGCACAACAACACAGGGAATGAAACATATTTCAGGTCCAGATGTTGCCCACTCAATAAGTAATTGGTGCGGTGACTGAAATGGGGTCCCAGCGCAAGAGAGAACAACGACGAGCAGACGGGCCCGGGCCGGGCGGCGCTGCTGCTTCGATCAGCGCGGAGGTTCATGCGGCGGGAACAAAAAAGGAGGAAAACGCCGCGGTCTCTTCCTGCAGACGTCGCGCCGGTCGGGTTTCTTTCTTCCGTCCTGCAGAGCGAACTAAGTGGCCCTGGCGGGGGCGAGTGTGCAGAGAGTACGGAGCAGAGGAGCAGGGATGCGCACGGGGCGCAGCGCGGCGCGGGGGAGGAAGGGAGCGGAGTCTGACAAAGGGCGGCAGGACGGAGGACGGCGTCTGACGGCGCTGGGCGGGGGCGGGTCTGGGGCCCGAGAGCACTGTCATGTGTACTGCCGGTCCCGCTCGAGTGAACGTCAGATTCAGTGCACAACCTTTCTCACGTGACCTTCGACCTCTGAACGAGGGGGAAGCTGTTGAGGTCGCGTGTACCGGGACCGGATGTTTCGGAGCGGACATACGCGGCAGTGTTGCTCGTTTACCGAGGGGGCCACCACTTCGGTTTAGGATGTACACAGGATTACGCGATTACGGGGATTACACATGAACCTTGAGGGATTACACGTGAATTTTGTTGAATTTCTGGCTCCAAAACCAATTAATTTGGACAATAAAGTTGAATGTAGTGATAATGTTCTAAAATTTTGTCAAGCATTACACGGAATACATGAGGATTACATAGGGATTACACTCTCGTCTGTACACAGGATTACACGAGTGGTGGCCCACTCGCGTTTACCTAATCCCTTTGACAGCCACACTGGTAGAGTCCGCTCTGAAACGACCGCGGTTCAACGGATTACCACTACCCCGGATTAGGGATCACCCAAAAAGTACGTCGCGTCATTCGCGGCTACGAAACTGCGAAGTTCGGCCGATGCAAGCTCTCATAGCGCCTGGTGGGTAGGCAACATGTTGTCTGACATGCATGCGTGTAACGCGGGGTGGCCTACCCTGTGTTTTGCAGGCGTCGAGCTTCCGTAATTTGCCGAATGAAATTGAGTAAAACGGTCGTACTTCCTGGACGATCCCTAACGCAGAGTGCCCCTAGAGCACCACCGGATCACTCCCGTCACGTTGTACTGTACCGGATGCGGGCGGGCGTCCTGGTTACATCTTCGCATGGGGCCATGGTGCCTTGGTGGGGAAGAGACATCAGATGAGACCGCCCAGATAGCCTCTTGAAAGCAGCGGCCCTTGTTTAGAAAAGGGACGACATGGACCACCCACTGTATTCACTTGATTCATGTCTCGTGTCCGCAGGATGTCGTTCCTCACGTCGCTGCAGCAGTTCGTGTCGAGCGGGGTGGCCAGCCTGAGCCTCACGCAGCGCCGCTTCTCGCTCTCGAGGGAGTCCTCCAGCGAGGCGGACGCGGCCGGGGCGGCGCCGGGGCCCGCGCACGCTCAGGGGCTGGTGGCGCAGGGCTCGCTGCCCGCGCCCGGCAGCCCCCGCCGGGACTCGGGCTCGCCCTCCCCGCACCACGGCTTCCCCAAGGTAAGCAAAGGAGGTGTGCGGGCATGTGGGCGCGCGGGCGCGCAGGAGGTGCCGAGCGTCACTCGGTGTGTGCTGCTGCAGGTGGTGCCCACGGCGGGGACCATGCTGGGCCGGCGCCGCACGCTGGACGGCCCGCCGCCCCAGGGGCTCATGCTGCCCACCTCGCCACGGCGCACCAGCTCCTTCCGGCACCAGCACAACCAGCTGCAGCAGCAGCACCAGCAGCACCAGCAGCACCAGCAGGAGCAGCAGCAGCAGCGCATGCTCGCCATGCAGCAGGTGCAGGCCCTGCGCAACCACGTCTTCTGCCGGCGGCGGCCGTCCTGGCCGGAGGTCGACCCCCGCGCCACCTCAGGGTGAGTCGCACTCGCTACACTTACTTCAATCAAGCGTCACTCTCACTTTAAGTGAAATTGTTTTTAAATCAAGCCAGGCAGTGCAAAATACTCGCCTCATTGGATTGAGTGCATTTCGCTCTTGAATCGAGAACCTATTTCACCCATCTTTCTGAGTGAACCACTACCTCCGTCTGCGGCAACGGACGTGGACAACTATAGTCGTCCCAGCCAAACTTCTCGACTGAGTCGACGCGTATTTAGCCCATATCTCGGTCAGTTTTTGAGGTAGAAGCCTAAGACTTGGTGACGTCTTAGGCCTGTATAAGACGCAACTTTTGGCGCAAACAGAGCCATCCTAGCTCTTCTGTAGCGTTCAGAAAGCTGCACCGTAACGGCCACCCAATCGAGAAGTTTGTCTGGGAGAACTATAGTTCGGTCCGAGCAAGGCCGCCCGCCCCGCGTCGCTAGCAGGACGGGTCCCAGTGCGCGAGCCGTACACAACTTCTACCTCATTTTTGCGGACAATGCTTCGCAAAGTCACCGACGCGATGTCATTAAAATTCTAGCCGGGGGAGAACGCCGGGACAGGACAGAACAGAACAATGCCAACTCGAATGCGAATCTAATCCGGGCTCAGCCGCGAGGGTGGGGGAAGAAGGGGGCTGGCATTGCGGGGTGAGGGATAGTGATGCTATCTCTTTCTCGCTCCGCACCCCTCCTCCCTCTGTCTCCGTCTGTCAGTGTCTCTCCCTAACTCTCTGTCTCTGTCTCTCCCCCTACCTCTATCTCTCTCGTACGGACGGGGACATTCAATCGGCACGGCCTGGTGTCCGGCTGCCGTGAAGTTGTGTAACAGGTCTTCCCCCGTACCCCACCCGGCCTCACCCCGCCCCGCCCTCGTCACCGTGCAACTTGGACCGGCGGCGCGCTGGCTGTATCTCGGAAAGCAAAAGCCGGGCATCTCCTCTGCGAGCCGCCCGCCCGTCTCGCCCGCCAGCCCCCGCGGACAGTTGGGTTTGCGTTGGCCGCTGCAATGTGTGCGGCCTGGGCCCAAGGCGACCGCAGAGGGAGGCTCCAGCCCCGCCCCGCCCCGCCC